CCTATTCATCTGCATGTTAGGACTAATGATTCCTTGGGTATAGGAATCCATGAATTAATGAATAAAGAACAGCCAGCATAAGGCCTTAATGAACACATTTCTCTCTAATCACTTATTCGAACAAATGTCTCTCGATCACTTGGGATCTTTGAAAAAGCAAACCGCCTTTCCAGCTTCCTTATTTTTTAACCCACTTCAAATATGATCCACCTGTTCCTGTGTCCTTTTGGCTTTGATCATGAGGACACTGGGAAAGCTGGGGTGTGAAACAGCCCCTTTGGGGTTCTTGATAAAATATTGTACGGAGGATGAGCTGGTCTCCCCATCACCCCTCAGAAAATCAACATCTTGGCCGGTAAATCCTAAAGTGCTGTGGTTTTCACAGAGAAGCCAGCAGGAAGCGCCCTGTTCTATCTTTTACATTTACAAGAGGCAGGTTCATCTGTGTCGCACTTCTTGGACCCCAGGACAGGCTCAGGGCTGCGTCCTGGTGTCCAGCACCAGCTCAGGCACAGCAGTGCTCTGGTTCACTTTGTTGAATTGAATTAGTTTCCCTGCAGGCAGGGCGCTCCCCACAGAGTGCAGACACACACTTGGACGTGCACATTGCCTTTTTCAAGATGTGAAAACAGGTTTAGAGAGAGGAAGAAACTTGTCTACTGACCCCCAGCTTTAAAACACGTGCTGCTGCCTTCCACCATTGGGTAGTGCCAGCTCCCACTGTTCTGAGGGGGCACCTGGGACCCCCCACCCCAGTCCCAGTGCCTGCAGCCGAAGAGTGTTAAACCAAAAGCCGGGCATGGTGCCACATGCACACGACTGATTTAGAGAAGTGAGAATTCTCTCTCTCGAAGTTATGAGCAATGGAGGGTAAACGGGGCCCGAAGACATATGGTAGAGGCAGTGAGGAGCAGCCTTAAAAAAAACAGATCTGGCATTAGCCTCTTTGGCTCAGTGGATAGAGTGTCGGCCTGTGGACTGAAGGATCCCGGGTTCGATTCTGGTCAAGGGCATGTACCTTGGTTGCAGGATCCTCCCCAGCCTGAGCCCTGGTCAGAGTGCATGCAGGAGCAACCAATGTTTCTCTTACATCGATATTTCTGTCTTTCCCTATCTCTTCCACTTTCTCTAAAAACCAATGGAAAAATATCCTTCGGTAAGGATTAAAAAAAAGAAACTGAGGCCGAAACCGGTTTGGCTCAGTGGTAGAGCGTCGGTCTGCAGACTGAAAGGTCCTAGGTTCGATTCCGGTCAAGGGCATGTACATTGGTTGCGGGCACATCCCCGGTAGGGGGTGTGCAAGAGGCAACTGGTCGATGTTTCTCTCTCATCGACGTTTCTAGCTCTCTATCTCTCTCCCTTCCTCTCTGTAAAAAAATCAATAAAATACATTTTTAAAAAAGAAACTGAGGTCTGGAGAGTACAGAAGCTCCTGGAATGAACTATCCACCTCCAGGGTCTCCCCATCCTCTTGAAAACAGCCCCTAGCAACCTGAGGTGTACCACATGACAGCCCAGCCATCTTTGACCCAGAGTAAGCCAATCTGAACCTCTTCTGTACTCGTGAGCAAGAGGAGGGAACTGCCTTGTGAAGTGGGACCAGATAGTGGCCTTTGGCCACAGGTGGCTTCTTGGGCATTTGCTTACCCTATTTTCATACAGTGTAGGGTGACCAAGCACCCCAGTGTGTCTGGGTCTCCTGGGATTATCAATACTAAAACCCAAAAATCTTGGCAAACCAGGATGGCTGAATGTGGGGCATGTAGTGTCCTACATGTGACCAAGGCTTCTTCATCCCACCACCAGGGGGCCAAGGCCTGGGCAAGATAGAGGGTTGATTAGTGTCCACCCAAAATTTATGTCCACCAAGAACCTCAGAATGTACCATATTTGGAAATAGGGTCTTTGCAGATGTAATTAGTTAAGATGATGTCATATAGATTAGAGTGAGCCCTTGAATCCAATGATTGATTGTCCTTATAAAAAAAAAAAAAAAGACACACAGAAGACGGCCATGTGAAGACAGAGGCGGAAACAGTCAAGCAGCCATAAGACCAGGGACTCTGGAGCTCCCAGAAGTTGGAAGAGGCAGAGAAGACTCTCCGAAGAGAGTAGGGCCCTGCAACACCTTGACCTCACATTCAGGTTCCAGAATATGAGAGGACAAGTTGTTGTTTTGAGCCACCCAGTTCTGGTGGTGGCTTCTACAGGTATGGACCTGGATTTGGCCCCTGTTAAGGGTTGCATTGCCTGCCCCCAAAAGACATGTTGAAATCCTGATCCCCTTGGTACTTATGAATGGGCCATTTACAAATAGGGACTTTACATATGTAATTAAGTTAAAATGGGGTCACAGTGGAGAAGGAGTGGCCCTATTATAATGACTGTTGACTTTATATGAAGAAGGAAATCTGGACACAGATGATCAGGGAGACAGCCATGTGGTGACACAAAAATTGGAGTGATGCATCTACAAGTCAAGAATGGCAAGGATTGCTGGAGCCACCAGGAGCTGGGAGAGAGGTCTGAAGCACACTCCCTCATGGCCTCAGAAGGACCTAACCCTGCCAACACCTGTTTTAAGCCATCCCATTTGTAGTTATTTGTTATAGCACCCCTAGGAGACTAAGACAGCATCAAATAGTCCTATTTGAGATTTGGAAAGTAGAGCAGGTGATGAAAAGAACCAGCTCCCACCTTGGCCAGTGTTGCTCAGTGGTTGGAGCATCAGCCCTCACACTGAAGGATTGCAGGTTCAATTCCCAGTCAAGGGCACATACTAGAGTTGCAGGTTTGATCCCCAGCCCTCGTTGGGGGGCATGTCTGGGAGGCAACTAACCAATGTGTCTCTCCCATTGATGTTTCTCTCTCCCTCACACTCTCCCTTTCCCTCCCTTCCACTCTCCCAAAAAATCAATGGAAAAAATATTCTCAGGGGAGGATTAACAAAAAGTCTCACAAGCTGGTAACTAGAAACTACCAGTAACAGGACCTCCTGTTCCACCAGCCTCCTGCCGGTAAAGGTGACCTATCCCCACACCTGGCTAGGGTTAGCGGCCCCCTCCTGATCCTGCTAAGGGGCCCTCTCAGCCTACCCCTCCCCCAGGCATCTTCAAGTCCCCTCCTCCTGCCCACATCTGAGGCACCCTTGGGCTTTGTGCCCACTGAACCATGAATACTGCTCTTGTCCTGTCCCAGGGACACTGTCCCCCACTACCAATCCCCTAAGTGCAGCCTCATCAGGGCCTGGCAGTCAGCAGATTCTCCAGCCCTGGGATGCCTTCAACTTCCCTCTTGCTTCGAAACCAGTGGTTCTGCCAAAACCAGTTTGGCTCAGTGGATAGAGCGTCAGCCTGCGGACTGAAAGGTCCCAGGTTTGATTCCGGTTAGGGGCATGTACCTTGGTTGTGGGCATATCCCCCAGTAGGGGGTGTGCAAGAGGCAGCTGATTGATGATTCTCTCTCATCGATGTTTCTAACTATCCCTCTCTGTAAAAAATATTTATTTTTTTTTTTAAATAAAACCATTGGTTCCCCTGCAGGTACCCAGTGGTAGCCTCAGAGGCGTGTCACCCTGGAACCTGTGAATGGAACCTTATTTGGACATAGAATCTTTGCAGATGTAATTAAGAATATTGAGATGAGATCATCCTGAACTAGGGAGATCCCAAATCCAAGGATGGTGTCCTTGAAAGAGAAAGAGACACAAATAGAGATGTTTGGGTGAAGGTGGTGGCAGAGACTGTGGTGATGCAGCCCCCATACTAGGAATGCTGGAGCCCCCAGAAGCTGGAAAAGGCAGGTAGGACCTACCCCTGGAGCCTCCTGAGGGAGCTTAGCCCTGGGACAGTTTGGTTTTAAATTTCTGGCCCCAGAATGTGAGAGAATAAATCTCTGCAGTTTAAGCCACCTATCTGTGGTCCTGTCACTGCCACCCTTGCCAAGGGTCCCTTCTCAATTGTTCTTGGTCCTCTCAACTCCATCTCGTCCTATGTCCTTCCATGTCTCCAGGATGGTGCCCTCCGCCTCTTCACACACACACACACCTCCATTTCTCACTTTTTCCTTTCCTGCTTTGCACCATCACCAAGCCCATCTCCTACCCAGCTGGGGGACACCCACTCTCTATTCCCAAGACATGTCCACCCAATCCATGTTCCCTAAGGCACAGTGCTCCATAATCTGTCTCTTCACTTCCTGACATCTCCTGTTACTCCCGTCTCTCAGAGCTTCTGGTGGCACTGGCATCCTTGGCACAGACACATTGCCCCAATCTCTGCCCCCATCTCCACAAGCACCTCCCTGTGTGTGTCCAATGTCTCCTTCATATGGCACCAGCTGACTTGGAATAGAGCCACCCTGCCCCAGGATGACCTCACCTTAAGGACACCTGCAGAAGACTCTTGTCCTAATAAGGTTCCATTCTGAGGTCACAGAGGGTGAGGACTTCCACGTGTGAATTTGGGGGGGACAGTGTCCAATTCCTCTCCAAGTCTAGTTTCCTTCCCATAGTGGTAGTGTCCTGTGGAATAAAATTACCACGCTCTGCCCTAACCAGTTTGGCTCAGTGGATAGAGCGTCAGCCTGTGGACTGAAAGGTCCCAGGTTCGATTCCAGTCAAGGACATGTACTTTGGTTGTGGGAACACCTACCATTATTTTTCCTTTATGAAAAGCAAACTTTTATTTTCTGTGAATTTCCTTTTTCGGATGAAAACTATTGAATGTGGAGAAAAGTTGATTTAAAAGAAAGACCTGAAGGAAGCCACACTGCAGGGAGGTGTGGACACTGTGAGAGAGATGCCTGGGTGCACAGTGCTGAGCTGAATGGGCTCCGTCCCTAGTGCACAGGGAGGTTCGGTGCTTATAGGGCCGGGTCTGCCTATCGGGGGAAACTGGGTCCAGGTGCACAGGCCGTCCAGGTGGTGTTCTGTCTGAGGGACACACTGGGGCACTTGACACACATACACACACCACAAACAGCCCCTCGGAGGCTTGGTCTGCTGCAGAAAGGATGTATTTATTTCAGAAATATTTTCCAATAACAAAAACTACAAAATAAACAAAATCACAAAAAACAAAAACAGCTGTTGCAAGGTAACCAAGGTGCCATGTACAGTGGGGTGGGGAGTGGGGTTCATTCTACACCTGGTTACCTGGCTCCATTCCTAATGGCACCCAGTCACAATGAGATTCGGTCCACAATTTGTTCAGTGCGAGCTGTCGGTCAGTCACAGGAAGCTGGCTTGGGATGTCACTGCGAACCTGGCAAGCTGGAGGTTTGTTTTCCCTCCAGGAAGACTTGTCCTTCAGGGACCCAGGCCCTGGCGCTTCCTCAGGGACCTTGGCCACCTTTAGACACCATGTGGCATTCGGCACAAGAAAGCAAAGCAAGCAAACACGGACACATTCGGCCATGCTGGAGCCTCAGGAGCGGATGGCATCCCAGCAGTGTGTGCTGTGACAAGGGGCAGGCAGTCAGGAGCCAAGGGGCAGCATTTCACTGGAAGCCGGGCAGGGCAACAGGGGCTGCGAGGCCGCCAGGCCACCTCCCTCAGCCCGTCCATTCACAAAGGTGCTGTGGCAATACCCACACAACATCCGGTTCCTCCATCTCAGAAGGAACTAGAAGGATTGAGAAAAGAATTTGTAGATTCCTCAGTAAGGCACAGAGATTTGTCACATCTTGTTTCCTCCTAAAAGGCTGTTCTCCTGAGAAATGTGATCTGCTTCCACACATTCAGAAAGGGGCAGTGTGGACCACGGCCTGAGTGGCTGGCCCAGCACTCACTCCTCGACAATGGTATCCTCGGGGCCATACACACGCTGATGAGATGCACCTGTTTTCCTGTTTGCACAGTGGGGAGAGGAGCCCATGTCCCCACCAATGGGTTCAGTCCCAGGTTTGGGATCTCAATGAACATCCTGCTGAGGCGTGGGAGTTCTAACACATGGGGAAGAGAGCGTCCCTGGGAGAGCGCGACTGTGGATAGAAAGGCTGGAAGCAAGCTGGTCAATGGTCCTGAACAGCGGCTGAGGACCAGTGCAGAGGAACTGGGACAGGGGGACAGGGAAAAGCTGAGATCATGGCACTGAGGCGGTGAACTAGCCTCTGATCATCCCCGTGAGCCCCCTGATACAGATGGATAAACTCAGGACAAAATGCTGAACACCCAGCTGTATATCAAGTGTCTACATCACCAGCAGGGAAGAACCTCCCTCTTCCTGAGCACTGGACGAGGGTGATGGCCTTGACAGGAGTGGGCTGAATTTGAGGAGCCCTTCTTAGCATCCCCAGCACTGGCATGGAGGGCAGCCAGCCTCCTTCTGAGACCCCAAAGGGAGTGGACATTATGTGACCAAAGTTTTCAGAAGAGAGGCATCCTTCAGCTGGCTGGTAGGGCCAGCTGGCTTCTGGGCAGTGCTTGCAAGGACCTCTGCTCTTGGATGTGAGATGAGCTATGGGCACGGGTCCCTGAGAGCTGCTGGGGTCTGCCATCCCACCTGGAAAAGGTCCCGGTGGCCACCAACCCCTGCTGCCATCCTGGCTGGGGGAAGAGCCTACCTGCCACAGGGGAGGGACAGGGGACAGATGCTTAGGGCTTCATCGGACCCAACGTGGCTACAGGAGTGGATAGGGAGAAGGAAGAGGGCTGGTGGTGGCAGGTAAGCAACAAGACTAGTCAGCTCCCTCTAAGGCCATTGGCTACCACTGGCTGGATAGGTGGGTACAGTAGGGTATTCAGGCAGGCTATTCCCTGAGAAGTTGTTGAACTGGGCCTCCCGGGACAGTGGGTCCCGCCAAGTGCCATTGTTCCACTCTGTCTGTGCCTTCTGGAAGCTTCCACCGCTCCCCCGGTAGATTCTGTGTACCTGCAGAGCAGAGGGTGGTAGCAGAGGACAAAGATCAGTGATGTGGAGGCCGCTCACATTTAAGGTTGTGTTTTTCTTAAAGGAAGTACAAAAGCCACAGAAAGGTCTTTGTGGAAACTTTAGAGAACATGTAGAATCCAAGATTGTGAACTCAGGAGACCCAGCTGTGAGCCACAGCCCCTGGTGCCCCTTGGTGCTGACCTCTGTTGCCACGTGAGGCCCACGGCACGTCTGTCATGGAGAGAGGCTCGTCCTGTCATGGATTTGGGGCTTATCTCTTCCTGTGACTACCCCAACCCGACACCCAGTGCCTGGAGGGCGGCTCGGGTCCTCTTGGGCAGTGCTGGGAACGGAGAAATCCACAAGAAACTTGTATGACAATCGTTTGATGGCCTCTTGACATGGAGTGTCAGGCCAAGACAGCGCACATAGCCATCCCTGGGTGATAGTAGTGATCTCCACAGCAGAGACCCCTGGGACAGACCACTGACTCCCCACCATCAAAAAGGCTGATCTGACCTGCCCTGGCTGAGCATGTGGGGTAAGCGGTTTTATTTCATTTTACTTAATTTGAATTTTACTACAAGTGCCAATACATAGCCAGTGTGGGCAGATCGAGCAGTGTGGACCTGTGTGTGCTGGGGACACACCCAAAGGTAGGTGTGTGTAGTCAGTAGCAGCTGATACTGTGCCATTTCCCCAAGTCCTCTGTCCTTGGAAGGCCACTGGGGGGTGGGGTCCTCGCCTGAGCAGTTGAGGGTCCTGACTCAGAGAGACTTCGCTGCTAAAGGAAATCATGTCACTTCCCGGACACTGTACTGTCTCTTGCTCCTGAAACAGGGATAAGATGAGCCCCCTGGGCTAAGATAGTCAGGTGACAGGATGCATGGGAAGAAGCTGAATGTCTTGGGACCCAGAATACTTACCTTCATGATCACAATGGCCATCACGGCGGCTGACATTGTGAACATGATGGCCGGAAACAGCATGACCACGGCAGCTCCAACACTGGTCTGGAAGAACCCGATCGCTGCCAGCCAACCACTGCAAGGGAAAGAGAGAGTGTGGGCGCCAGCATATCTGCTGGGCAAGGGACCGCTCCCCTTCCTATGCACAGAGCTCCGAAAAAGGAAAAGGTAAACGACCTGCAGAGCAGTGGGAAATTCTCGCAAGGACTACCGAGGGGTAAATAAACTCACAAAATGTTGCTCAAACCCACCACTAAAGACACGAAAGTTAGAACAAGTGTCATTCTCCTACCATCATAGGGGCAAATGTCATGTGTATGAGGAAATGGAGACACGAATACCACTCTGTTGGTGGTAGTGTACACCCTTCCTGGAGGGCAATGGGACGTTATCTATAAAAAGACTGTTACCCCAAAAGTTTTAATTCTAAGAACTTACACTACAACAATTGTTTGAAATATGAAAAACTGGGAGTACCCTGCCTGTCCACTGGCTGGGAACAAGAACGTAAATTATGCTACGGCCACACGACAGATTACTAAGGAGATGGTAAAAAATAAGAGGGGGAGAAGGAAGTTGAAGCTCAGTTGGCACAGCAAGGGCCTATGAAATAAGAACACCATTGGCACACGTGAAAAAGAATGTCCATCTGTTCATACATGCTCCCTCTGGGAAGGGAAGTCAAGAAACACAGTATTTTTGAGAATATTTTTTCTTAACAAGTAGTAAAACCACAGAGTTCAAAGATTAGGAAATTAAAAAGAATATACAATAAACAGTCTCTCTCCTGCCAACCCCACCCCCCATCTCAGAGGGAACCAAAGTGATCTATTTGCTATGTATCCTTCCACAGAATCTTTACGAAAACATGCATGTGTACACTACAGGCACATGTAAACACAGAACCCACTCCCGCTCTGTGAATGAAGGAGGAACATTCTACATACACTGCTTTGCACTTAGAGGGGTGTGAGCAAAACTGGGCAAAGGAGGGCTCAGGTGGGCACTGGTAGAAATGGAAAGGCAGCTAAGGTGGGCAGCTGAACCCTGTCCTATAGGGAAGGGGATCATCTTCAGGCTCTTGGAGGGGAGGAGGCACTGCCTCTGATGTAGATCTCCCACCAGATCTGGGCCCTAGAACAAGAGGCTGAGGGGTGAGCGGGGGGGAGAAGCCTGAGGATCATGGTCTCTGAGGAGGGTGATCATACCTACAGCTGGGACTGTAGAATGCGGAGCCTGCTCTGAGACACCGCCTCCCAGACTCACCAAGGAGCTGGCAACTGCCAGCTTCCCCAAAACAAGCTTATCTATGACCCAGAATGACATCTCGAGCAACAGCGGGTGATAAACTGGCCTCAATCGGCCACAAACAGATAATAGAGTAAGTCTACTATACCCCAACCACATCCAGAGAGGCCAAGACATGCAGCGCAGGGAACAGGAGGATAGAGGCATGGGACAGTGCAGAGAACAAGGGAGACAGGGGGTGCCAGGTGCTCCCCCAGAGCCACTCAGCCAGGGGCACAAGGGGCCAGAACTAGGGAGAGAGGGACAGAACAGGGGAAAAGACAGCAGGGGACACAGCCTGTAAAATCTGTGGAATAATCTGGCAGTTCCTCAGAAGGTTAAAATTAAAACAGTTACCTTGTCACCTAGCAATGCCATTCCTGGGTATACACTCAAAAGAAAAACACACGTCCACACAAAAACACACAGGAATTTCACAGCAGCACTACTAACAAGAGCAAAAAAAGTAGAATGTAAGTGTCCATCAGCTGATGAATGGATACACAGAGTGTGGTTCATCCACACGATAGAATATCACTCAGCCATGGAAAGGAGGGAAGCAATGACACTCACTACAATGTGGATGAACCCTGAACACATGCTCAGAGAGAGAAGCCAGACACACAAAGCCACACAGTATGTGATTCCATTCATGTGACATGTTTGGGACAGGCAAATCCACAGGGACAAAAAATATATTAATAGTGGTTAGGGGCTTGGAGAGAAGAAGGGGGTGACTGTTGATGAGAACAGGGTTTCCTTTGAGGGGTGATGGAATGTTCTGGAATTAGATGATTGCATACAATCTTGTGAATGTATTAAAAACACTGATTTGGCCAAAACCGGTTTGGCTCAGTGGATAGAGCATCGGCCTGGGGACTGAAGGGTCCCAGGTTCGATTCCAGTCAAGGGCATATACTGTATTTTCCGGCGTATAAGACGACTCCCTAATTTTACAGTTAAAACATAGGTTTAGGCCTATATTCGCTGTATAAGACTACCCTCCACTTCCGAGGCAACACCAGTTCTTTTTTTAATAGACCGCCTCTCTGACTCTGGCCAATCTGAGCAGGCTTTTTACTAGAACACAGTGTTGTCTTATACGCCGGAAAATACGGTACCTTGGTTGCGGGCACATCCCCGGTGGGGGGTGTGCAGGAGGCACTGATCAATGGTTCTCTCCCATCAATCTTTCTAGCTCTCCATCTCTCTCTCTTCCTCTCTGTAAAAAAATCAATAAAATAAAAAAATATATATATATTTTAAAAATCACTTCAATAAATAAATAAATAATAAAAACACTGATTTGTACACCAAAAGAGGGTTGGGAAACCTTTTTCCTGCCAACGGCCATTTGGATAGTATAACATCACTGATAGGCCATATAAAATTATTAACTTAAAAATTAGCCTGCTATATTTGGTCAAACATTTAATTAATCACCCCTAACACCTTGGCAAGGCCAGACCAAATGATTTCACAAGCCTTATACAGCCTGTGGGCCAGACGTTCCCCGTCCCTGACATAAAGGGTGAATTTTTGGTCTGTGTGTGTGAAATGTGTCCCAATAAAGCTGTTACTCTAAAAATCCCAAATGTGGGGCATGGTACAAGACAGTCAAGCCCACAGATCAGGAAAAGGCAGAAAAAGACACCAACTCACAGAAGCAGGCACGGCTCACCTGTGTCAGATGTGAACACGCTGCTAAAGCAACAATTAAATAAATGCCACGAGAGCCCCGCTGGAGTGACTCGGCTGGTCTGGCGTCATCCCTGTGCCCCGGAGGGTTCCTGGCTCGATACCCAGTCAGGGCACATACCTGGTTGCAGTTTTGATCCCCAGTCAAGAAGTATACAGAAGGCAAATGGTGTTTCTCTCTCCCTCTTTCTCTTTTCCTCTGAGGATATCCTCAGGTGAGGATTTTCTAAAAAGGGCTTTCAGCCCTGACTGGGTTGGCTCAGTGGATAGAGCATCAACGTCTGGATGGAAGGGTCCTGGGTTCCAGTCAGAGACATGTGCCTTGGTTGTGGGCACCTCCCCGGTGGGGGGGTGCAGGAGGCAGCAGACTGATGTTTCTCTCTCATTGATGTTTCTAACTCTCTATCCCTCTCCCTTCCTCTCTGTAAAAAAATCAATAAAATATTTTTTAAATAAATAAATAGCCGAAACCGGTTTGGCTCAGTGGCAGAGCGTCAGTCTGCGGACTGAAAGGTCCCAGGTTCGATTTCAGTCAAGGGCATGTACATTGGTTGCGGGCACATTCCCAGTAGGGGGTGTGCAAGAGGCAGCTGGTCGATGTTTCTCTCTCATCGACGTTTCTAGCTCTCTATCTCTCTCCCTTCCTCTCTGTAAAAAAATCAATAAAATATATTTTAAAAAATAAATAAATAAATAAATAAATAATAAAAAGGGCTTTCATGGACACTGCTGCAGAAATGCAAATGGAGCCTGCAGTGTGGGTGGGGCAAAGGTGTCAGGAAGATGGGTGGATGGCAACGCTCTATCTGCACCTCTGTAAACCTCAGGGTAGCCAAGGTTAAAAGGCGATTTAAAAAGGAACAAGAGCCACTCAGCCAGCATGGCTAGTGGCTGAACACTGACCTATGAACCAGTCAAGGGTTCAATTCCCAGTCACGGCACCTGCCTGGGTTGCGGGCTCGATCCGCATGGGGCATGCAGGAGGCAGCCAATCGATGATTCTCTCTCATCATTCATGTTTCTATCTCTCTCTTCCTCTCTCCCCCATCATGGTCATATTTACATACGATATGTTTATACATTCTAAGTGTCCTTCTCTTTTATACGTTCGCAGGAATGTGCTTGCAGAGCAGCCCACAGAGGATGCAGGGAGTGACAGGTTCACACGACAGGACTGGCTGGAGTGGGTGACTGCCACAGGGGCCCTCTGGAGAGCACCCCTTCTGCTTGGGGGAGCTGCAAGTCTCCCCCGAAAACTGTCCCTCTGGTTCTTGCTCTCACCCCACTGGAAGTCCCTCAACCCTGTTCAACCCTGGAGAAAAATGATCCTGAGCCCTAGCTGGTTTGGCTCAGCGGATAGAGCATCAAACTACAGACTGAAGGGTCCCTGGTTTGATTCCAGTCAAGGGTACATTGCCCGGGTTGCAGACTCGATCTCCAGTAGGGGGCATGCAAGAGGCAGTGGATCAATGATGCTCTCTTATCATTGATGTTTCTCTCTCTCTCTCTTCCTCTCCCTTCCTCTCTGAAATCAACAAAAATATATATATTTTTAAAAGACCCAGAAAAAGTGGAACAAGAGGACTTGAGCATGTGACACAAGAAAATGTTCGGGCCGAAACCGGTTTGGCTCAGTGGTAGAGCGTCGGTCTGTGGACTGAAAGGTCCCAGGTTCGATTCCGGTCAAAGGCATGTACATTGGTTGCGGGCACATCCCCGGTAGGGGGAGTGCAAGAGACAGCTGGTCGATGGTTCTCTCTCATTGACGTTTCTAGCTCTCTATCCCTCTCTCCTCCTCTCTGTAAAAAATTAATAAAATATATTTAAAAAAAAAAAAAAGAAAGAAAATGTTCAGGAGCTGTAACTGCAGACAGAATGAGCTCCTGTCATTCGGAAAACAATCAACCAAAAGGCCAACCATTCCAGGGCACTGCCAGGTAGTTCTCGTTTGAAGAGAGCCATCCCAAATGCCTCTTACCCAACACTGGACACCACAGACACCACCTATGACTGGTAACAGCCCTGATGTCCTGATCCCAGTAACTCTCGACATGTCTGTCTTCTCATGTGGTAAAGGGACTTTGCAGTAGGATAAAGTTAAGGCCATGAACTGGGGATGACCCTGGATTACTCAGGGGCTCAGTGTCCTCACAGGGTCCTCACAGGAGGAGGCAGAAAGAACAGTCAGAAAGGTGGGAGAGGCTATGCTCTCCTGGCTGTGAAGAAGAGGAAGGGCCATGAGGCAGAGATGTAGCACCCTAGAAGCTAGAAAAGGCAGGAAGTGATGCTCTCCTGGAGCCTCCGAAAGGACCAGTCCCACCCACACCTGGGTTTAGAGCATGAGATGCACGTTGGACTCCCCCAAACTGGAAATGAGAAGAGTGTTTCATTTTAAGTCACTGAGTTGGAAGTAATTTGTTACATGGTTCAGGGGCCATGGAAATGTCATCTAATACCCTAAAATCAAGCAAACAGAAGATCGGATCTCTCTCTAGATGGTGGGATACACTGCTGGCCCATGCCTACCTCCTAGGACACACTGCTGGCCCATGCCCACCGGTCTCTTCCTTGTGGCCAGCGTGGCTGGTAATCAAGCACTCATAGGCACTGGGAACCAATGTGGAGCAGACACCCTGCCCCTCAACCTCGCACCTCCTTGGAGCGTTTACAAAAGCAGGAAGTAAATGTCTGTTCTCCATCAGCTGTCAGAAGTTGGGGACTATGTTACAGTCTCAGCCTGCACTGACTGACACATGTATTCACGCACATGTCTACAGTTAACACCCATCATAGAAGCCACGTTCACTGACTTACCAAGCACCCCATCCTGAGAAGCCGATAGCCTGGATGACGGTCAGGACGAACTGGGCTCCGAAGATAAAGAAAAATGCCATGAAATTGAAGGAACTGTCGGCCCTGGAGTGAGAGGAATGACCATTATGGCTGCCCCGGCCTTTTAGTAACAACCACCCAGAGGAGAATGTGAGGCAGAGACAGCAACACAGAAATATTCTCCCTTCTTCAGGTAGGACATGCATGAATTACTGCACACATGTTCACACAATCTCTGACCACAGGTGCCTACCACACTGCCCCTCTGAGAAGATGCTGCATGATGGTTCCTACTGGAAAGGAGTATAAGAATTCTACCTCCTAAGGATGGGATTAGGGACCAATACACCTGAGTAGCAGGGGACTGGCTAGGGGCTAATGTTCGTAGAAGCAGGTTATGTCCAAAGGGGCTGGGGAGAGGATAGGGGTGACCACTAAGGGGGGGTGGGGCTTCTTCTGAAGTAGTGAAAACGTTCTGGAATTGGATGTGATGAGTGTACAACATTGTGAAGACTCTAGAAACACTCAAATGCTAGGTAAATGAGTTGTATGGAATGTGAGGAGTAACTCAATAAAGTTATTAAAGACAATACAATAGGCATCTGTGGGTAGTAGTGCACAGACCCCGATACAAGCTGTCATCCGAATTGGACAAGAGAAAGGGAGGGTACTAGCACCTGGGCTAGGGTGACAGGTGCAGAGCAGGAATCAGCATAGAGATGTGCACACACAGTTGGGGGCATCCTGGCTACTCAGTTTTGAACCCACTGCTACACAGACCCTCCAAGGCCCCATGAGGGCATGGCCAGGCCCACACTTACCGGAAGGCCTTGTAAGCAGGCCGGAACCAGCACACATAGCTACAGGGGGAGAAGAGCAGCAGCCAGACCAGGGCCAGGCCAAAGTTGGCTCCTGAGCCGCCTCCGATCCACCAGGCCAGGCATGCGATGAGATTGACTGCCAGTGTGGCGCAGTAGACTGGATAGGGAGGCAAAGAGGCTTCAGCCGGGGTTTGGGAGTTAGGGCACAAGCACCTCCACCCCACCACACAGGGACCAAAGGCCAGAGGCTCAGAGAGACAAAGGTTCCTGCCCAATGGCCCACGTGTTCCGTCCATCACACCATGCCGCCTCTGGGACAGAATTTTATCAGAAAGGAGAGTTACTACAAAAACCTCAAGTTCTCCCAGCCCAAGGATGCAGCAGCTTCATGACCTGGCCTGGCCTGGGTCTCTGCGGTGGTTTGGGGAGCTCCCAACCCCCAACCCCCAACTCCTAGCCAACCCCACTGCTCACACAGCCACAGCCGGTAGATCCTCTTCACTAGGACCTGATGCTCAATGGGGATCTCATCAGAGAAGTTCTGGTAGAAACAAGGCTTCAGAGGGATGAACTTGGGCAGCGGCGGGAAGTTGTTCTCCTTTTCTGTGGGGACACAGAACACCGTGAGACTATGCCATGTGGGGGCAGCACAGTCAAGGCCCCAAAGATGTCCCTGTCCTGTTCTTGGGACCTGTAGACACGTTGCCTCACACGGCAGAGGGACTTTGCAGATGGATTAAATCAAAGCCCATAGGATGGGCAGGACCCTGGGTTCCCGGGAGGCCCAGTGTGCTTACAGGGTCCTCTTAAGAGGGAGGCGAGAGAGTCAGAGTCAGAGATGGAAGAGGCTCAGCTGCTGGCTGTGAAGATGGAGGAAGGGGCCATGAGCCACAGATATGGCGCCTCTAAGACACTGACTGGAAAAGGTTCTCCCTAAAACCTTGGAAAGGACTAGCCCGGCCCACACCTGGGTTTAGCCACGTGAGTTTAGTCTGTTAGACTCCTGATAAATCCTGTGTAAGTCACTACATTTGTGGTGACTTCTTAGAACCGTCACAGGACACTCACACAGATGCAGAGGCAGAACCCAGCTGCTGGTAACACCAGGGAAGGGTCCTTCCAACCCCTGCTAGCTGCTGGGGGCTCTGGGGATCCTTGGATTGCGGCCACATCACCCCAGTGTCTGCCTCCATGGTCACATGGCCTCCTCCTGTGTTAGTGTTCAAATTTCCCTTTTCGTATAAGGACACCTGTCCTTGCATTAGGACCACCTTACTCCAGTGTGACCCACTTTAACTAACACACTTACAGAGACCCTCTTTCCAAATGAGATAGGTCCCAATCCCAGGTGCCAGGGGTCAGGACGCGAACATGTCTTTTCTGAGACAGGACTTGACCGGCAGCATGGTAAAGTCAGTGCTGCCTGGTGCCTCTCAATGTCCTTTCACTTCACCCCCAGGCCACTGGGCGTGGTCCTGAGTACCTGCCTGCCGGGGTAACAAAACACAACACACCGAGCCCTGTCCTCGGGCTCCATCCCAACAGGGGGGACAGACGGGTGTCAATGTGGAGTGCTGAGACATGCCCAGTGCTGTAAAGAGGAACCACCAGAGCAGGTGGGGCCAGCAGGGACAGTGCTAGGGGTGTCAGCTTTGACTTAAAAGCAGGGTCAGGTGGCTTTACTAACGGGTGGCATTTGAACAAAGACTCAAGAAAGTGAAGAAGGCAGCTCAGCGGATTCTGGGGGAGGATGCTGCCCGTGCAAAGGCCCTGAGGTGAGGTCCTACCTGTCTTGGAGCAGTAAGATCAGAGGCTGGAGGAAGGAGAAGGCTGGAGTAGCCACACCTTGTTGGCCACTGAAAAACTCAGGCATTTACCAAGTAACACAGAAGCCGGAAGTGTCCTGACCTTGCCTAGGAGACCACGAGAGGCAGGATTTCCAGCTTCCGCCCTCCCAGTGAGATCCAGAGAGATCTCCCCAGCTCTGGTCACAAACCCCACTTAAGAGTGCCCGGCCATGCACCCAAGGCCCCAACAACAGTCCCCACCCAGCTATCGATTCCCTAGTCCTGCTGCTCCCTTGGCTCCCAGGACAAGGCAGGGCACCCCTTTTCCTGCCTGACTGACATCCAACCCCCACAGCAAAAACAGGGTGTTTCCAACAGTCAGTCCCACCGGCACGCACTGTGACAGGAAGGAGGCAGAAAACTGGCTAAATCTGGAGGCTCCTTGAAACCTTGTTTTCTTGGTAAAACATTTTGTACTGGCCCTAACCAGTTTGGCTCAGTGGATAGAGCGTTGGCCTGAGGACTCAAGGGTCCCAGGTTTGATTCCAGTCAAGGGCATGGTCCTTGGTTGAGGGCACATCCCCAGTAGGGGGTGTGCAGGAGGCAACTCATTGATGTTTCTCTCTCATCGATGTTTCTAACTCTCCCTCTCCCTTCCTCTCTGTAAAAAAATCAATAAAATAAACATTTCGCGCTGACTTGGAATCCATGGGCCTGGGTTCAAATCCCAGTTTTGCCACCAACAGGGTCACCATGGGCCACCAAACTTGGGTTGTATGCTCTGCCCCTGTTTTCAAGCAGGACAAGGCAGGCCACCCTGAGGCTCACTGCAGACTTCATGAGGAAATGAGGGCATCATCTCATGTGTATAGGCATGAACTCAGGTGACAAATCTCAGTGCCCACCCGTGGTGTCAACAATAAAACGAGGCCCAGGCACAAGGCCTGGCCAGATGGCTTAATTGGTTGGAGCATCATCGCATGTACCAAAAGGTTTCAGGTTCCATTCCCGGTCAGAGCACACATCTCAGTTGTGGATTCAATCCCCGGATGGAGTATGTATGGGAGGCAATCAATGTTTCTCTTCTCTCTCTCTAATCAATTTTTAAAAAGAAAGAAAAGAGAATGTGGTCTGTACACACAATGGATAAAAGAATGAAGTACTGACACATGCTACAACCTGGACAAACCTTTAAAATATTATGCTGAGCCGAAACGGGTTTGGCTCAATGAATAGAGCATCGGCTTGGGGACTGAAGGGACCCGGGTTCGATTCCGGTCAAGGGCATGTACCTTGGTTGCGGGCATGTCCCCAGTAGGGGGTGTGCAAGAGGCAGCTGATCGATGACACTCTCTCATCGATGTTTCTAACTCTCTTTCTCTCTCCCTTCCTCCCTGTACAAAAATCAATAAAATATATTTTTAAAAATATAATAAATAAATAAATAAAAAGAAAAAGAAAGAAAAGAACCTGTGCCTCCCTGTGAGCCCCTCAGTGCCAGGATGCACCTCCAACAGCCATCACAGGAGGAGGAGCGTGAGGTGTGCGCCTACAGTGGTCCTAAAGGGTCTGCCTGACATCCCACCCCCACCGCAAGAGGGCACTTCCCGGAGGAACTGAGACGCAAACCCCGGGCGCCCAGGAAAGACTCACCTGGCATTTCCAATGTGATGACCTGATGAGGCTGAAGCCCAGAGCCACCTGGAGGGGAAACAGCAACAATCACTTGGCTGCCAGGTGACCCTGACACCAGCTGTCAGCCTGTGCGGCTGCTGAGGCTGGAGCTCTAACCTCCAGGCTATCCACAGGGCTGTCTGGGCTCCTGCCTGGAAGGCCACCCCAAACGTGTGCCCAAATGTGCCATTGCTTCACCTCTGGGCAGCATCTGTGATGGTGGGAGGGGGTTAGCCTGCAGCCCCTGCCACCCACAGGCCAGCCTGGAGCCAGGACATTCCAGCGACCACCCCTACTGCCCTCCTGCCATTCACCCTCCTCACCTTTTGTCTTCAGAGAGCTCTGAATGCCTCTTTATGGCTGCAGTGCCCAATTTCCAAATCGCCAAGACTGGGTTCACACAATCTGCTCTGTAGTTTTTGCCCCATGAGCCTTGCAAAACTGAGGACCTCACTGCAACCCAAGTGAAGCTCCAGGGGACCCGTGGCACCAAAGGGGGCCAGGAGCTATGCTTGAGGCGAGGCACTAGGAATATTCCTCACCTACCGTCCACGCAAGAAGGTGCCAGTGATACCGAGTTCCACGGGGCCCATCCCTCAGCTTAGCGATGTTCCCACAGAGACCCTCTGTCATGCCCTGGCTGGCTCTCCCTGCCCCCACCCATGTCTGGCCACTGCACTGGCTCTCAGATGGAGTCCCCGCCTGCCCTGCCCCCACAAGACTGGAGCGTCCCCAGGAGCCCGAGCATCGCTTGGGACAGGAATGTCCTGGAAACCCTGAAGCGCCTTTGTGGTCAGACGGTGCATGGTTGCTGGATGGACAAACAGCCTGCCGCAAGTCCCAAACACACAACTTGGTTCTAGTGCTGACTGCTCTGAGGACACTCTGCCACCTGAGATGGAGCAGAAATGGGACAGCCCGAAGGAGCCTTCCGATCAGCTGAGCCCAGACACACCCAAGTCAGCAACACCCTTTCAGACCCACAACTCAGCTCCGGCAGAGCTCTGGTCAGTGGATTCAGAAGCTCCCCTCCAGCTGTGTACACCCAGGCCCTCGACGGAGGCAGCCCCACAACTGTCAACAGACACCAACCTGGTTTAAGGGCTGAGTTTATTTTCATGGTTCAGAGTTGAGATAAAGGGGATACAATCCCAGGAGACCCGGGGACTCGGGGTGAAGGCGGCACAAGGAGGGAAGCCTGAGAGCCCAGGGGTGAGGCCCGGCTGGGCCCTCGTTATGCTCCAGCCCGGGGAAAGCTTGTTCCAGCAGAAATGCAGCACCACACACCAACGGAACGCGTAGGCACGGTTCCGGGGCTGGGAGGCACGTCCCTGAAATCCAGACAGGATCGCAGCCCTTAGACAAGGAGGGAGCCAGGGCCCACGCGGATCTGTGAGGAGGCTGAGGCTGGGAGAGCAAAGAACAGTCTGGAGCCGGCAAGCGTGGCCCCTACGTGTCGGGGTCCAGCTGGCGGCACTGGGCCTCCAGCACACCCCGGAACACCTGGAAACGGTGGTTGAGGTCAGGTCGCGCGTGGATGCGGAAGCGGGTGCCCAGGGCACCATCGGGAGAGGGTGCCCCATAGAAGACTCGCTGCACGCGGGAGTGCACCAGGGCCATGGCGCACATGGCACAGGGCTCGCGGGTGATGTAGAGGTCGTAGCCGGTACACACATAGGGGAGGCCGCTGTCATCCGTGTCCGCATCCTTTTCCAGCGTGTGCACAGAGAGGGCCTGGACACCCTGGGAGGCCGAGGCTGGGGTGAAGGAGCAGGCAGGGTGGGGCCTGAGGTCATAGGTACCTTGACCCTGGCCCTGGGCCACCAAGTCAATGCACACCATGGTGGCATGCAGCAGGGGGCTGGCTGAGCTGCTACAGTCATGGCCCGTGGCCAGTACCCGGCCTGAGGCCGGGTCCACTACCACAGCCCCCACAGCCCTCAGGCCCTTGGCGGCCGCTTGCTGTGCCACCCGTACAGCGCGCTCCATGTGGCCCTGCATCTCGGCCTGCTCCTGTGCTGAGAAAAGTTGCCCGGCCAGGGCACGGGTCACGTGCTTGTCCTCATGGAAGGATGTGGGCCAATGGGCGCGCGCCTCCTCAAACTGGCCCCTGGTCAGGGGTGGCCAGGCAGGCACAGGCACCAGGAAGGGCTGTCCCAGGCCTCGGGGATCCACTGCCGGACGTGGGAGGAGCTCAGCCAGCGACCGAGTGCCCGCCACTGGCCCTGCCAGGCACAGCAGCATCTCCGGCACCTGTGGGCGGCTGGCATCGCGGCTCGGGCGAACCCTCTTCAGGTGAGGCTGTGCGGGCAGGGGGTGGACGGCCGACACCTCCTTGAGGAGACGCGAAGTCTGGCGCCTGTCGAGGATGGGTGCGGCGTAGGCCAGCACCAGCTCCACGTCCCTGGACTGCTGCTCGGACAGAACCGGAAGGGCTTGCCACGGCGCAGGCTCTCCATTTGGGCTCTTGGCCTTCTTTTCCTCACGCTGCTCCACGCAGCCCAGGGGATCCATCCTTGGCAGGGCTCCGACTGCGGGAGACAGAGATTGGAGCAGAGCATCATCTGTCAGCCACGGGAGGCCTGGCGAGCCGAGGAGTCCGTCCTGGGAGTGTGCTGAGTCTGAGGGCTCGTCCAAGAGCCCCAGCCCCAGTAAAGTGCATCCCTGGTCATGTTCTCACTCAGGTCCTACCAACTCTTGATTTACTCTTGATTTGCAAAGTTTAAACCGCCAGTGACTTTTTTTTTCTTTTCCTTTTTCTTTGAGATGTGCTGTGAGCAAAAATGCACGCTGGATCTTGGAAACTTAATACGAAGACAAGAACATAAACTACCTTATTAATTGTTTTTATATTGACTATGTGTTGAAGCGATGACACTACATGTTTTAGGTTAATTAAACATTATTAAAATTAACGGCACCCATTACTTTGTACTTTCTAAAAATGTGGTTTCTAAAAAACTTAACTTTATGTATGTGCCTCCTATTCCTATTGGTCAGGGCTGCCTTGGAGAATGTTAGAGATAAGAAACAGAAAACCTCAGCTGGATTCAGGAGCTAGGATGCAGCCGCCTGGCCAGCACACACTGCCCAGCTGGGCGCTTGGAGTAGACCAGCCCTTCCTTCCTCTTCCCTGCGGACAAGAAAGTGTTGAAATCATTTTACAACAGTGGGCTTTTGCCGGAAACCGATCACTGTCTCACTAATAGAAAGATGTAAAAGGCTGGTCAACCCTGAATCTCTGAAAGGTCAGAGCCAACCACTCCCTATCTAATTGAGACAACAGTAACTGTGACAATCTTGTGATCATGTAAATCCTTACTGATATGATAATCCACTTATTACTGCCTAAGGGCTATGGGTGTATCCCAAACCTGCTCAAGGGTCATGGGTGTATCCCATAGTCTCAATAAAAGGGGCGGCAAGGCCAGAGCCTAGCGGCAGCCCTCCCACTAGAGGTGGGCTCCTGCCTGGCCCCCCATACCATCAAATTAAATTTCCTCTATAGTCTCTTTCATTTGTGTGCGGCCCTTCCCCAGAACCCAAACCCTGAACGGGAACCCTGAACCACGAAAGGGTTCCCACAGGCTTTTACTGCCCTTGACATGCCCCAGGCTTACTCCTAAGCTCCATGCGCCCTCATTTATTTATCAACCAGGCCCTTCAAAGAGCATGTAAGGTCCTGGCCCACCAAATGTGTCCTGGGCTCACAACATACTGAATTAGGATGCCAGTGGCAGCCATGAAAAGTGGAATCATGAAGGGTGCCCCTCATGTGCCCACAATGCCTGTGCTGGGCAGCGCCCACAGGAGAGTCCGGAATGCCAACTCTGAAATCTGCTCCGAGCACACACCATGCCCAGGATCCCACGCCCCACACGGCCTTCCCTGGACCACAAAAGTTCTCTGTCTGTACGGAAACACAGTCTGACTTGTCCTTCTAAAAGTGCAACCTCTGTCTAACCCAGTGGTCGGCAAACTGCGGCTTGCAAACCACATGTGGCTCTTTGGCCCCTAGAGTGTGGCTCGGCGTTAGAACCACTTCTTCAAAATGGACTCGCCCGGGCCGACTGCGCATGGGCCTCCAAGTTTCAATCGCACTGTACGTGTGCGTCTGCACGGGGTATTTTGTTTTTTGTTGTTGTTTGTTTGTTTGTTATATATTTTATTGATTTTTTTACAGAGAGGAAGAGAGAGCGATAGAGAGTTAGAAATGTCGCCGAAACCGGTTTGGCTCAGTGGTAGAGCGTCGGTCTGTGGACTGAAAAGTCCCGGGTTCAATTCCGGTCAAGGTACGTTGGTTGCTGGTAGATCCCCTGTTGGGGGTGTGCAGGAGGCAGCTCATCGATGTTTCTCTCTCATCGACGTTTCTACCTCTCTCTCTCTCTCCCTTCCTCTCTGTAATAAAATATATTTTAAAAAAAAGAAAAAAAAGAAATGTCGATGAAAGATAATCATTGATCAGCTGCCTCTTGTACACCCCCTACAGGGGATGTGCCCACAACTAAGGTACATGCCCCTGACTGGAATAGAACCTGGGACCTTTCAGTCCACAGGCCGACGCTCTATCCACTGAGCCAAACCAGTTTTGGCTGCACGTGGTATTTTGTGGAAGACCCACACTCAAGGGGCCAAAGAGCTGCATGTGACTCACGAGCCGCCGTTTGTCGACCACGGATCTAACAAAACAAAAGACAAATAATGGCGGCTGCCTTCGGGACACATCTGGCTGGGCCCTAGAGAGGGCGGATAAATATCACAGGATGATCACCATTTCACCCAGCAACTTCCCTCCACTCTCCAGCATGTGCCCAGAAAGACCGAAAACCCTCTTCCACCCAGAAACCTGTACACGCGTGTTCACAGCAGCAGGATTCACAACAGACCAAAGGTGGAAGCAGTGGGTGTTCACCCCAGATGATGAACACAATGTGGTCCGTGAAAACACCGGAAGATTACGCAGCCATGAAAAGGAATGAGGCACTGACACGTATCGCAGGGCAAAAGAACCTTGAACACATGATGCTCTTGAGAGAAGCCAGACACAAAAGGCCACACAGTGTGTGGTTCCATTTATGTAAAATGTTCAGAACAAACAAATCCACAGAGACAGAAAGAAGATGCCTGATTACCAGGGACCATGGGAGGTAGTTGGGGGTGACGGCTGATGCGGACAGGTTTCTTCTTGGGGTGATGGAATTGTCTGGAGTTAGATAGTGATGACATTTCCACACCCTGTGACTATACTAAAAACCACTAAAATGCACGCTTTAAATGAGTGAACTACACGGCATGTGAACTGTATCTCCATAAAACTGCTATGAAAGAAAATGGGGAGAGGAAAGGATATCTGGCGAGTCACTAGGTCAGCAGGCCCCACACAAGGCCCAGCACGTCGGAAGACAGTAGCCGTTACACAACACCATGTCCATGTCCTCACGCTTTCCCCAATGGGCTCCCTACTCCTCCCGACGAACTGGCAGGCAGGTGTGGGCTGTCCCCTTTCTGCAGGACAAGGCCAGGCGCCCTGAGTGGAGGCTCTTGACCAGGGCACATAGCTGCTGCTCACCAGCTCACCGACTGCTTTCCGAGTCCCTCTGTAAGGCAGGGGTCCTGAGCCCATTCTACAGACGAGAAATGAACAGGTTCCACAGAGAACCGGAGCCCCATCCAAAAGCCCCGCAGGGAATGCCAGTCCACCTTCAAACAGAAACTGCACATTTTTTGCTTAAACAAACCCAGGGATCTTAAGTACGGCACCCGACTACCCCTACAACCCACCCCCACGAGGTCCTGCCCAGTCCCTTCCCTGGGTGCGTCCATTTCCTCTGCCTGCAGCTGTAGCTGCCTCCTAATAACATCTGTGCTCTGGTCTCCAGGGGGAGGCGGGCAACCTGGTCACATTTATGGTGCCTCTGCACTGGCAGGTCCTGGAGGGTCTACTGGAACAGGGAGATGGATCCCTAATTGCAAGGCCCCTCAGCAGCTTAAGACTACCTGCTGCCCCAAGGCACCACACTGGGAAACAGGTGTGTGCTGGAACTGCTAGGAACACTGGGCAGGGGCCTGCTGGGGGGAGAGGAAGGCCCTGGCCCTGGGGTCCCAAGATGAGTGGACTCTGGCTTTAGGGAGGGACTTGGCAAATGGTGCTTATTCAGGGAGCTGAGTCAGGCTCTGCGGGTGACAATGTAAATCTCAAACAAGAGGCCTTCTTTTCACCTCCGATTAGGAAGGCCAGAGCCGGCACCTGGCTGTGTCCTGACCAGATTGCCTGACTGACCCCCATTGCAGCTTTCCCCTCTGTGAAATGGGAATCCATCAGCACCACGCAGGTATGGGATAGGGGCAGAACGTGAGCGAGGCCACGAGAACTGTCCTGGATAAACAATCCCACAGCCACTCTAGGGCCCTGTGCCCTATCTGTGGCAGCAGGAGGGCTCTTCAGAGCAGGGCCTGGAAGCAAGGCAGCGAGGGTAGGGAGACCTGGGCTGGAGGAACAGCCAGTGCTGGAGCCTCAGAGGCACCCACAGTTTCTAAGTCCTGGGTCTACAAAGAGGAGAGCGCCAAAACCTGCATTTCTAACAAACACACCAATGGGGTCCAGTCGCCAGATAACTCACAGGATACCATTAAATTCGAATTCTAGATGAGTGAAGTGTTGTGTGTGTGTGTGTGTGTGTGTGTGTTTTAGTATAAGTGTGTCCCATGCAATCTCTGGGACATACTAAAAAAAAAAGTTATTGTGAAATTAGAATTTCATGGGGCGTCCTGAGTGTTTGCTAGACCTGGCACCCTACAAGTGGGCCTTCTGTGCAATAAAAGTTGGAGAACTTTGGGCTTGTGGGGTTTGGGAGAGACCTCTTATCCCGCGGCCGTCGTGGTAAGAAAAGGCCTTGAAAACTCACACTCCCTATAAGCAGCAGGAAGGACCATCCATGTTTAGGATATATGTCAAGATTAGGGACCTTCGCCTAAAGCGTGCAAAAGGCTGGTCAACCCGCAGCCCAGAGCAGGTGTAGGCCGAGATGATTCGAGGGCGGGGCGCGCCGGAAACAGCTGGACACGCGGGGCTGGTCGCCACGCTTCAGGGGCGCACGCAAGCGCAGAAGGAAGAGGGGCACACGGAGCCGGGTTGTCCTGTGCGCACGCGCAGACGCGACGCTCCCCGGTCCGCCCGAGACGGAGACGCGCGCGTGCCCCGCACGGTTGCTTCCTCGCCCCAGCGCGGCCGGCATCCCCCCCTAAGCCAAGTACCCCCCGCGGCCGCCCTCGCCCCACCTCCGCGGGAGCCTGGGACACGACAGCCGAGACCCGGAGGCCGCGCGCTTACCTAAGGCGACGGACGCTAGCGCTGAGCTTCTCCAAGCGTTAGCAACTGGCCCGCCCGCTCCGCCTCCGCCAGGCGCCGCGGGGCACGACGGGAGCGTAGTTCCAGGGGAGGGGTTGGCGCCAGGGGGCGGCGGGGCCGGGACTACAATCCCCACAGGACCGACCGCGGCCGCCTCGCTCCGCCCCTCTGTGGGGTTGCTGGTCTCGTGATCGCAGGAGCGCCCATCGTGCATGTAGTTGTGGGTTCGAGACCCTATGGGGCGGGGGGCGGGGGCGGGGGGGAAGTCGTGTGGGGGAGTCGACCTTTAGGAAAATCAGCAGACTAAGGAAACTGAATCAGAGGGGCACACGACACCCGCTGCAGTCACTCACAGAGCAAATTTGCTGTTGTCACATAGTTCCAGAGAAGGCTGCCCCCCCTGGATGGAATGGCCTTCTAATTTTGGGCTGAGGCCTTGGCCTCAGTTTTCCCATTTGCACAGAAGGCTAAGAGGATCTCTTGACTTTCCTGGACAAAACATGCTCATTTTGTGAGCAAATCTAGTGATTCATTTTAGTTAAACAAGTTTAAACCAGTGATTTTTTTTTTTTTTTTTTCAACCAGAGGCAATGTCTGGGGACATTTGTGGCTGTCTTAACTGGATGGTGCACCTGACATCAAATGGCATCAACACCTGGAAGCCAGGGATGTCATTCAGCACCCTACAGTGCACAGGACGCTCCCTCTAAACAGAACCAGCCCAAACGTCCACACTGCAAAGGCTGGAAAACCCCGGTTTAACCCCATTTCTAAGTAAAGAGAAAAAAAATCCAGGTCTAAAAAACCCGTGTGTTGATTAGTTTAAAAAAAAACACAATTTGGTGATCTTTGATTACCACGCCATTAAAAACTGCTTAAATTTTCTGCATATAATAAAGTGAATCCCTAACGGAAAAAAACAAAAATCTCTTTGTAACTTTCTGCCCATTTTTCATTTCTCAAAAATTAAAAAAGACATACAGGTGGGGATGTAAAATGGTTCAGCAGTCTATCAAAAATAGTTTGGTGTCTCTTCAAAAAATTAAACGTAATTACCCTGTGACCCAGCAGTTCTACTCTAAGCACATACCCAAGAGAATTGAAAGCAGGCACTCGGATTTGTACACCCAATACCCATGTCCACAGCAGCACACGCAATAGCCAACTTAAATATTCATCAACAGGTGAGTTGATACACACAATTTGGTTCATCACACAGTGGAATATTATTCAGCATTGGTCCCTGATCAGAAAGAGTGAGGGAGCCCGTCTGAGGTTATGTTTCCAGGACTTGAATTGGGGTGGGAATGGAAGTGGATTGACATCCCCTAAAGTGGAAGCGCCCCTACAGGTGGCATCTGCATCCTGCCCATTCAGCACCCAGCTCCCCTTCTGGACTTGGCACCCAGTTTTTTGTGGGAAATTGTCCCTCCCCAGCTCTCAGTTCATGTGCGAGGACCTCGGGGCCAACTCTGCCCTGTCAATCAGAGCATTTTCTTCCCCCTGGCACAGTGGAGGAGGGGGAGAAATAGACGTGTGGCTCAAGTGAGACCAATGAGAGTCATCCTTGGGACTTTGAAATACAAGCAGAGTTGCTCTCAGTGTACTATAGAGTGTAGCCTGGAGCTGCCAGGAATCATTTTTGACACACAGCAGTGGAGCTTGTCTGTAAATGAAACCAAAACCATAGAGAGGAAATCCCAGAAGGAGGGTCAATGCCCAACGTCATTTAAGCACCTGGATCTAGCCATCCATGCATGGAAAGGGAGAGAGGAGGGAGAGAGAGAGAGAAACATTGATTTGTTCCACTTATTCATACATTCATGGGTTGCTTCTTGTATGTGCTATGACCAGAGATCGAACCCAAAACCTTTGCATATAGGGTAGACACTTTAACCCAGCCAGGACACAGTCCCTTCTGTTTTGATGTTCATTGTCCACAAGTAACATGACCCTCAAAACTCACGGCAACAAGTTTGTGTCCAGCACCAAAAGGTTGGAGAAAACATGGAATCTGTTTCCCAACTGTAAGGTTAAAGATAGCCAAAGTGCCCTGGAGTCTGCCAGAAGCGTGGGTTGGCTGCTAACTGCCTGGGTGGCCATAAGCCTGTCCATGTCTGTAAGACAGTTAAGAAATGAGTGCATGGGAAAAGAGGGGCTTGCCTACAAGCCTCCAAATTCTTCCCAGCAAGTGGCCCGTATTTACCCAGCTTATCATCCGCTTACTTTCTGAGGTTGCAAGGGGCAGTCATGTGGGCTCCAGGTGTTTCCCACTTCTGTGGGGTGATCCTCAGGCCAGACTCTTTCCGGAAGGGGGTGGAAGTGGGAGCGGGGGAAGACTTCCTTTAACTGCCCAGAAAGGTCAATCAAAGCCTGCTGGATGCTGACAAGGAGGGAAAAGTGCCATCGTGGCCTGTTTTCTGGTTATAGGGCTCTTTGCTGCCCCCAACAGGTCTCTTTTTTTTTTAAAATATATTTTATTGAATTTTTATAGAGAGGAAGGGAGAGAGATAGAGAGCTAGAAACGTCAATGATTGAGAAACATAGACCAGCTGCCTCTTGCACACCCCTACCGGGGATGTGCCCGCAACCAACGTACATGCCCTTGACCAGAATCGAACCTGGGACCTTTCAGTCCACAGTCCGACGCTCTACCGCTGAGCCAAACCGGTTTCGGCCCCAACAGGTCTCTTAGTAAATGAATTCCTGCTTTCCTGCCCAGACTCCAGAGGGCTGGCTCCACAACCCCATCACACACACATACATACACACACACACACACACACAATTCATCAGCCACCAACTGTCATTCCTCTTCCCTGAAAACATGTTTCTAAAAAGCAAACTCAAGTGTCACCAAATTCTAAAACCCAACCTCTTTGCTCACAGCCCTTTAACTTTTAGTTTGCAAACAATAATAACCAAGCTGGGTTTTCTATAATACTTTCCCAGGTCCCAGAGACTGACACTAATCTTATATAATAAAAGGCTAATATGAACAGCAGAATGACCGGTCGCTATGATGCGTACTGACCTCCAGGGGGCAGACACTCAATGCAGGAGCTGCTCCCTGGTGGTTAGTGAGCCCCCACAGCAGGGAGTGCCTCTCAGCTAGAAGCCCTGCACTGGGGCACAGCTGGTGAGTGCAGCAGTGGTGGCAGAAGCCTCTCCCACCTCTGTAACATTACTAAGGATGTCCAACTGCCGGCTTAAATACCTCCTGGCAATCAGATACCCCCCCTCTGAGTGATCCCGGATTGCAAGAGGGTACAGGCCAGGCTGAGGAACCCCCCCTCAGTGCACGAATTTCATGCACTGGGCCTTTAATATATATAATAATACTAGAGGCCTGGTGATATAATAATATTAGAGGCCCAGTGCACAAAATTTGTGCACGGGTGTGGTCCCTAGGCCTGGCCAGCAATTGAAATGTGAGTGAATGACATGGAAGGGCAGGTCCCAGATGACCCCTGGGCCCTAGGCAGCACCTGGGCCCCAGGACTCCCCCCCACATACCTCTCCTGGGTCATAGCCCCAAGTCCCCAAGCAGAGATGTAGCAAGGCCTGCTGGACACCATGGGGTAGGGCACAGCATGTGCCTCTGGGCTGCCCAGTGGTGCCACATGGAAGCCAGATAGACAGTGCCCTCTCTCCCATCTGGCCTCAAAAACTGGCTCCTGCTCGAACCCACAGGGACACAGGTGTGGGGCAGGCTCACCCGAGCACAGAGGGCATGGGGGGCGCTTCGTGGATGTGCAAGCCCTGGCTTCCTGGGGGAGGGTAGCAGGCAGAGTGAGAGCGAGCTTGCACCTCTGTCTCTGTCACCCCTGCCTCCAGGTATCTGGTGAGAGGTCGCAGCACCCTGCCCAGGAACCATGGGAGGTTGTTTGCTTCCCCCTGGTGGTCAGCGCATGTCATAGCAAGTGGCTGAACTTCCAGTCTCCCGGTTGAACGACCACCCAAAAGGACAATTTGCATATTAGGCTTTTATTGCATAGGATAATGTAACAATGGCAGTAGCCATTATTACTAGTTTTTAAAATACATTTTTATTGATTTTTTACGGAGAGGAAGAGAAAGAGATAGAGCGTTAGAAACATCAATGAGAGAGAAACATCAATCAGCTGCCTCCTGCACACCCCCCACTGGGAATGTGCCCCGCAACCAAGGAACATGCCCTTGACTGGAATCGAACCTGGGACCCTTTAGTCCACAGGCCAATGCTCTATCCGCTGAGCCAAACCATTTTTTGCAGCCATTATTACTATTGAATAATGGTTAATATTCACTGAGTACTTTTTTGGAACCAAACACCATTCTGGTTGTAAGTACTTTACATCATTTCATTTCATCATTATGAAAACTCTATAGGACAGTATAATTGCCATAGCCTTCAGGGGTCAGGGGATGCAACCCACCGGGCACAGTTTCTTTTCTTTTTAAAACATTTATTGATTTTATTGATTTTTAAAGAGAGAGAGAGAGACATCGATGTGAGAGAGAAACATCAATCAGTTGCCTCCTGCATGATCCCTACCTTTCCATGCATGTGATGACACCCAACCAAGTGAGCCACACTGGCCAGGGCTGGGCACTCAGTTCCACAACAGATTCTCCCCAAAGTCCTGGCCACGTGGAATTGGGGGATAGGAGGATCTCCTCTCCTCTATTTGGTAGTCCTGTTCTCACCTGGCCAACCTTTTATTGTAATGTCTTCCTAATGTTTATGATTGCCTGGTGACATCTTATTTATCTGGGTTGTCTGATCCATGAGGGCTAGAAATTTTGTTCACTGTGAATCCCCACTTCCTGGCTCCAAGTGAGTACTCTTGGTGCACGTGAATAGACCATGCTGTTGTTGTTTTGGCAAGACAAATGGGATTGTCCCTGCATCCTGGCCTCACTTCTTCCTGGACCCACCAAATATCAAGCAGTCACTGTTGCCACCTACTGACCAAAGGAGGCATGGCTGAATCTCTGGCCTCAGGCAGGATAAGCTGTTATCTTAGTCCCAACTGCCACTGCCACTGGTCCTTCGGAGTCAGACTGGCCCAGGGCTCAGGTTTCTGCAGGAACAGTACACAAGCAGTGGGGCTTCAAACTGGCTCCAGCGGTACCTGGGGTCCTTTATAATTTTAAAAAATATATTTTTATTGATTTCAGGTAGGAAGGGAGAGGGAGAGAGATAGAAACATCAATGATGAGAGAAAAATCATTGATCAGCTGCCT